TTCTTGAAATTCTTATATCGTAGTGATTACCATATTCTTCTCTGTAGCATGAATATAAAGTTTTTCCTTACATGTATATGGTGTGAGGGTTGGGAGGAGATTCAAGAAAGCAATATAAATATCCCAAATCATTTGAAAGTCAAGTGAAACCACTGGGAGGACCATTTCTTTTCTCTCCCCCATATGACCCATCTCCCATTGTTATTCTGTTCTTTCCCTTCAGTTTTTTATAAATGTATTTAATTTGGTGGTGATGAATCTTCTGTTTTAAAAGCACCAAAAGTGGCCAAAGATCCTCATCACTCTCCAACAAACGTAAATAATTTTACTTTTTTACCATCACAGGTAGGTAAATAAGACTATTTTAAAATGAAAAACCTACTTTTTCTACTATATCCATGCAGCGATATCTGGATTAATTTTTCCTATCACAGTTCTCCACTGTGGAAATGATTGGTGTGTACACACTGGGTCCCCATTTGCAGGACGGGGAAAGTTGCCGATGCTTCATTGGTGTTTACCAATTCTGCCAATTAACAATTAACAAAGTAAATAACAGATGAAATCATGGCAAAATTAATTAACCTTTGCTAGTGCCTGGCAGTACCTGTGTGGTACAACACCATTGGCAAGAACATGCTCTGATCTGGGAGCAAGTTCAACCTCTTTGGGGAAGAATCACAGATGAAGGTGTATGTCTCTTTAAATTAGAAAACTTAGTATAGCTTCCACGGGCACCAAGCATTCTTTTTAAAAAACAAGAAATCCCACAAATTCCAGGGCCAAGTAGCCTTAAGTATACACTACACTCTGATTTTGTACTGGTAGAACAATTTTGTTTAGGTGTGTAGTGGTTTTTTGTTTTTTTTTTGGTGGCTGTGTTTTGTTTTGTTTTAAACTAGAATAATTATACCAGTACAACCCTCATACCAGTATAGCTTATTCCACCTCCTGTACAGCTATACCAATAGAAGCACTTCTATACTGGTATTACTGCATCCTCTGTAGGGGAGTTGTGCCACTTTAACAATATCATTGTAGTTAAAGTGGTAAAGTCCTGTGTGCAGACAAGGGCTAAAACGTCTGTTGTTACTATATTGCTTTCAAGTGACTTCGCTTGACTTCATGAAAATAGTCTTAATACCCTTAAAGCTATAGCTTCAGAGTAGTTCATACTGTGCTGGGAAAACTGGTAAAGTGAACTGCTTGGGCGCTATACTACTTTCAGAACAAGAGTTCTCAAAGTGCAGGAAAGCCCAGTGGGGTGGGGACGAATTAACATCTATGAATGTGGTTTAAAAAAAAAAATCCAGATAATTGTATTAAAACATTTACAGCTGTGTATTTTTTACATAGCAGCCATCTCTTTTAAAGTTATGTTTGATAAGACTACTGACCTCCTAGACATACATGGTTCACTTATGCAGTATGAGGCCAGTGGTTGGCTGATGCTGAAATGGACTGCTATATTGCATCATGCTCTATCAGTTTATTTAGAAAAAACAAAACACAAAAAATGACAGCCTGCTAATCATGTAAGGCCCTGATTGGATGAAAGGGAAAGAGGATGAGACGTGTTAGTGCTGGAATGTCTTAGACCTGTATCAAGTATCAGAGGGGTTAGCCGTGTTAGTCTGGATCTGTAAAAAGCAACAGAGTCCTGTGGCACCTTTAAGTCCAACAGATGTATTGGAGCATAAGCTTTCGTGGGTCAATACCCACTTCGTCAGACGCATGTAATGGCAGGTATGTTAGCAACAAGAAGGTCAGGGAAAGTGTGGGGCAGGCAACCTAGTGACAGATGATGTGGAAACAGCTGAAGTACTCAATGCTTTTTTTGCCTCTTCACAGACAAGGGCAGCTCTCAGACTGCTGCACTGGGTAGCACAGTATGGGGAGGAGGTGAGCAGACCTCAGCGTTGAAAGAACACGTTAAGGACTATTTAGAAAAGCTGGACATGTATAAGTCCATGGGGCCGGATGCAATGCATCCGAGGGTACTGAGGAGTTGGCTGATGTGATTGCAGAGCCATTGGCCATTCTCGTGGCAATCAGGGGAGGTCCCAGATGACTGGAAAAAGGCAAATATAGTGCCCATCTTTTTAAAAAAGGGAAGGAGGAGAATCTGGGGAACTACAGACTGGTCAGCCTTACCTCAGTCCCTGGAAAAATCATGGAGTAGGTCCTCAAGGAATCCATTTTGAAGCACTTGGAGGAGAAGAAGGTGATCTGGAACAGTCAACATGAATTCACCAAGGGCAAGTCATGCCTGACCAACCTGATTGCCTTCTATGATGAGCTAACTGGCTCTGGATATGGGGAAAGCAGTGGACGTGATATAGCTTGACTTTAGCAAAGCTTTTGATACAGTCTCCCACAGTATTCTTGCCAGCAAGTTAAAGAAGTATGGATTGGATGAATGGACTATAAGGTGGATAGAAAGCTGGCTAGATCATCGGGCTCAACAAGTAGTGATCAATGGCTCGATGTCTAGCTGGCAGCTGGTATCAAGTGGAATGCCCCAGGGGCTGGTTGTGGGGCTGGTTTTGTTCAACAGCTTCATTAATGATCTGGATGATGGGATGGATTGCACCCTCAGCAAATTCATGAATGACACTAAACGGAGTAGAGATCGATACACTGGAGGATAGGGATAGGGTCCAGAGTGACCTAGACAAATTGGAGGATTGGGTCAAAAGAAATCTGATGAGGTTCAACAAGGACAAGTGCAGAGTCCTGCACTTAGGACGGAAGAATCCCATGCACCGCAACAGGCTGGGGACCGATTGGCTAAGTGGCAGTTCGGCAGAAAAGGACCTGGGGATTACAGTGGATGAGAAGCTGTATATGAGTCAGCAGTGTGCCCTTGTTGTCAAGAAGGCTAACGGCATATTGGGCTCCATTAGTAGGAGCATTGCCAGCAGATTGAGGGAAGTGATCATTCCCCTCTATTCGGCACTGATGAGGCCACATCCAGAGTATTGTGTCCAGTTTTGGGCCCCCTGCTACAGAAAGGATGTGGACAAATTGGAGAGAGTCAAGTGGAGGGCAATGAAAAGGATTAGGATGCTGGGGCACATGACTTATGAGGAGAAGCTGAGGGAACTGGGCTTATTTCTTCTGCAGAAAAGAAGAGTGAGGGGGGATTTGATACCAGCCTTCAACTACCGGAAAGGGGGTTCCAAAGAGGATGGAGCTCGGCTGTTCTCAGTGGTAGCAGATGATGGAACAAGGAACAATGGTCTCAATTCGCAGTGGGGTGGTCTAGGTTGGATATTAGGAAACACTATTTCACTAGGAGGGTGGTGAAGCACTGGAATGGGTTACCTATGGAGGTGGTGGACTCTCCATCCTTAGAGGTTTTTAAGGCTCAGCTTGACAAAGCCCTGGCTGGGATGATTTAGTTGGGATTGGTCCTGCTTTGAGCAGGGGGTTGGACTAGATGACCTGAGGTCTCTTCCACATTTGATCTTCTATGATTCAGATTCTCTTTCTGTTTGTGCGTTTTCAGCAGAATTGTTTTTACTAAGTTCCAATCAGTGAAGTTAATGGGGTTGCACAGGTATCACTGGAGGCTGGATTTGGCCTGCAGAACTCATGTAGGCCATGATGCCTGAGAAGAAGTTAGCTTGACTCAGATCCCAGTTTTAACTTGCAGGTCTGAAAGCAATTGGGGGCATTAGAGGAGTCTCCCTCCACCCCCTTTTGTAAACTGAACATACTTTGATATGGAATATACATTAATGTCATGGTTGGACCCTTAAGTTCTTTAGAGGCACATTCAGAACTGTATGTGGAGTCTTTTGCTATACAGTTGTTTGTACACTCACATTCTACGTCCAAACACAGGGAGGTAGACTTGAGATTGTTTTGAGTTTAACAGCTTGAGTTATTTTTGCTTCCCAAAGTAAAGTTGTATTTTGGAAATGCAAGGATTTCCATTTGACCCAGGGCAAAATCTTGTGTAAGTTATCCCTCTCCAAAATAAACAGGCACTGCTGCACAGGCTTTATCAGCTGCTAGTTGAGATAACGTAACTTCTGTACAGCCCTGAGAGAATGACCTACTGCCCCTTCTTCTGAAGCCAAAGAAACTGTGAGTGGGGATATGAGTGAGGATAAATAAATTCTTCTCAATGTCTAAAAGTGCCTCTTGAGAGAACCAATCTTATACAAGCTGACTTTTGCAATTTGATGGGGAGTGGAGGGCAGGGGCAGCAAACTCTGTCCAATCGTTAAGTTAAAATTTCCCTGGGTTAAATGCTAATCACGTAGCACTGTTGTAGGAGCACATATGCACCACCCAAAGCTACCCCTGAATGTTGTCAAAAACTAAACAGAGCAACTATCTTGGTCAGTCTGTCTCTCCTGAAGTGCTGCTTTGTCACCCTTGTTGCCAGTGGTAGTACCAGATCTTACAGCTGAATAGCAGAGCTATTCTGGGTTAATGATGATTACCATAGAACTGCCAGCTGCAAGGCTTTTACTGTCTCTTTCCAGTCCTGTACCTCCTTGTCTGTATTATCCCCAGAATTTGTCCTTCCCTTAATATTAGTTCAGTAAACTTTAGTTATCCCTGTATCATTTCTTGTCTTGACTGTTTAAATTCATGCTTTCTATATGGGGGGGATATGATTGCTATCTTTAAATATATTAGAGGGATTAATACAAGGGAGGGAGAAGAATTATTCCAGCTTAGTACTAATGTGGATACGAGAACAAATGGATATAAAC